TGCCTCCCAAACAGGCCCCATCCCCTGCTACCTAGTGGGCGGTGAGAGAGGCTTAGGCTGAAATTGTGACTCATCATTTACTAGCTATATGTCCTTGGACAGATTAACTTCTTGGTAATGTGAATTAGTGGAGCACATTGGATGCCAGTCATCGTCCTAGGGGCCGTAGGGCCACGGACGAACAGCCAGAACACCACCCTGCCTGCAAAGCACTCAGTGCCTGGGGGTGGGAGACAGGCAACTAAATAAGCAAAACCAAGCAAAAATAATGGAGCTGTAAGGATAGCCCACTTCTCCAGCTGGAGTTAGACCATTAGACCAATAGTTAATAGACTGGTCAAACAAGTCAATAAAGTAGAGAATCATAAAAAAAAAATGTTATCTACATGTTTTAAATGTTCTATTTCAATATAAACAGATTAGAGGTTGCCAGGGAACAGGGGAGGGGAGGATGAGGAATGACTACTTAAAGGGTACAGGGTGTTCTGGGGTGATGAGAAAATTTTGAAACTAGAGAGACGTGTAGGTTGCACAACATCGTGAATGCGCTAAATATCACTGAGTGGTACATTTTAAAGTGGTTACTTGTATGTTATGTGACGTCGACCTCAATAAAAAATTATATAAATTTATATTATATATAAAATAAAACATTATTTTACCAATCTTTTGATGTATGGCTAAGGACTTTTTATGTGCCCATAACTGAAGCCCCAAGGCATCTTTCTGGCATAAACCACACCCCCTCCCATAAAAAATATTATATATATATATTATTTTCAGCTTAAATTTCTTTAAATTGGGACAAGAACTTAGGTACCTACAAATCTATCTCAGAGTAGAATCCCTTTAGATTTGTGGGTTTTCTTCCATTTACAGCTCTTACATCCATACGTAACATGACAACAATTTTTTAGCAGCTCACACTTAGGAGCCTACATTCTTTTCCTTTTTCTTTTTTTTTAAGATTTGATTTATTTATTTGAGGGAGAGAGAGAGCGAGTGAGAGAGATCACAGGCAGGGGGGAGGGGTAGAGGAAGAAGCAGACTCCCCGCTGAGCAGGGAGCCCAATGAGGGGCTTGATCCCAGGACTCTGGGATCATGACCTGAGCCGAAGGCAGACGCTTAACCGATTGAGCCACCCAGGCGCCCACATTGTTTTTCATAGAAACAACTACTTTCCTTCCGTACTCATACCTTATGAATTTACATAATATTTCACTGAACAACATAATTATTATACCAAGTAAAACTGGTACAAAATTAGTTTGGAACAAACATGTCTGGCTCTAGTTAGGCATATGGTTGAATTCAACTAGTGGGAGCGGAAGTAAGGTGGACGTCATAGAGCGTAGTTTACCACCTCTCAGCATTATGAGGCTGAGGCAGTATACGCTTTACTAGGGAAATGGTGTGTTTCAAGTGAGTTGGTCCAGTGCAAGTCAGTTTTGAGAACATTTACAATACAATAAATGCCCCAGAAGGATATTTAACCTGGACTTGGGGAAGTGACTATAGCTGCGACCTAAAGAAAAACCAGAGGATAGTATTTTAGGCACTGGAAACAGCCAGAGAGAAAAGAGAACCCTTCTAATGGAAGGCCAGCAAGAAGTGTGGCGGGGCGTGGTGTACAGAGGGGATGTATCAAAGATGAAGCTTGAGGAGGATCTTGCAAGTCATAAAAGGAGTTTAGACTTTTAGGAACAGGAGAAATCCATGGAAAAGTTTTAAGGAGGGGACTGACATAATCAAACTGGCATTTCAGAAAGATCCTTTGGACTGCATTCCAGGGCAGAGAGGAGGGATGGATGTGGGGTAGCGTGTGGATGGGGGTACTGGTGAGTGATGGCGGTGGTCTGAACTGAGTGGAATGCTACAGGCAGTGAGGGAGGGCGCACTGCTGGTGAACAAGGGAGAAAAGATCTGGTTAGAGCCCACGTGTTTCTGGCTGGGGTGGTGGTGCCCTTTACTGACATGGAACAAGTAGGTTTGGGGATGATAAGTGCAACTTGGAACACATTGAGTTTGAGGTTTATTTTTTTTAAAGATTTTATTTATCTATTTGACAGAGAGAGAGAGAGACAGTGAGAGAGGGAACACAAGCAGGGGGAGTGGGAGAGGGAGAAGCGGAGCAGGGAGTCCTATACGGGGAGCAGGGAGTCCTATACGGGGCTTGATCCCAGGATGAGCTGAGTCGAAGGTAGACCTTAACGACTGAGCCACCCAGGTGCCCCGAGTTTGAGGTTTAAAGACACTGTGGGATGTCCGTTGAAGTAGCTAGACACGTGACTCTAAAGCTGAATTTCAGTCGTGAAATGTGGAAAGTCAGGTAAGGGAAGGCATGGAAATACGCAATTACTTGTAGCAATGAGGAGCCCCCTGGTGACACGGGGGAAGGCAGTTTGAGAAAGAAGGTGGGCATGGGTGCCAGATGCGGGTGGGTTGAGGAGTGTATGGGAATGAGGAAACGAGTGTGTCTAGTTGATCATTTAGAGAATTGGGGCTTTGAATGGGAGGACAGAGTAGAGGAGTGTAGTAGCTGCAAGATGAATAGGGGGTAAAGAAGAACCCCATTTAAATGTTGCTGAGAGAAGTCAGTAGAAAGGTTAAGATTGCAAATAAAAGCAAGAGGGACTAGGAGAGGCTCGACAGGAGAGAGCATACTTGCAGTGCAATGCTGTAGTGAGAGGGTAATGCATAAGCCCGTATCAAGCACCAAGCGCCAGGCGTGCGCGTGACTGTAGTCCCTTCTATTCTCTATGCGCTGGCCCTGCCCTCTTTCATCTCGTTGCGTTCTTATCCACAACATGACCTGGCCACTTCGGCTTGTGCCTTCTTTGCTACACATCTATAGTTGTAGAAGTCTTTCTACGTAATTCTGGATGAGGTTTCGGAACTAGAGTAGACTGGCCTGGTGTCTCACCTATCTCCACTGTCCACACATGTGCACAGTGCCTACAGTGATTCCCCTTTGGCCAGTTCCTACTCTCCTCTTTACTGTCACGTTCAGCTGCTCGGCAGGGGTGATGGGCTCCTAGCCACCTCCGAGTCATCCACATCCTCACTGAGACTTCACTCGAACTATCCCAGCCTTCCTGTTTCTTTCACTATGCTGAGATGGGAGGCTTCTGTTCATTGTGAAGAGGTACTCTTCTCCCAGGAGCCTTGTTTCCGTGCTTATCTTTAATAATTTTTTAAAAGATTTTATTTATTTATTTGACAGAGAGAGAGAGAGAGAGAGAGAGAGAGCACAAGCAGGGGCAGTGGCAGGCAGTGGGAGAGGGAGAAGCAGGCTTCCCGTTGAGCAGGGAGCCCGATGCGGGACTCGATCCCAGGACCCCGGGATCATGACCCAAGCCAAAGGCAGACCTCAATTGACTGAGCCACCCAGGCGCCCCTATCTTCAATAATTAAAAGCAATTTTGCAGAGTTAAGTGCTTAGCCCCTTGCTTGCACATAGTCCGCGTTCAAAAACATGTTCGTTTCCCTACACTTGGTTCCCGTTTCCTCATTGCTCACCTCAAAGCCATTGCTCCGCTATCACCTCCCCTCACCCTTCTTTAGCATTTTGGTGTATTTCTTTCCAATATTTCTATGCTTGAGAAAAACACAGTTGAAAACGTACTGTAGGTGCTTTTTTTACTTGCTACTTTAATGTGAGCATTTCCCTGTTAATATCATTAAGCCTGATTTTTGATGACCACTAGAGAGTCCATCTTACAGGGGTACCAAGCTTCACTTGGCCACTTTCCCACAGTTAGGCCTCCAGGTGCTCAACAAATCTCTGTTCCTAGTGCTGACTATGTCTATACACCAGGCTTCTAGAAGTAAACATCTGAGGAGGAATAGGAAAGCTAGTTTCACATTTGGGGCCGGGAGGAATGCTGCTCTTTTCCCACTGGCACAGGACTCACTTTTCAAGTCCCATTGGTATTAGTACAAACAAGAAAGGGTCTCACTCCTCTGCTGCATTTTGTAAGTGGAGTCATCTCCTTCACCTTAAAAATACTAACCACCTAACTGCTTGCAGCTCACATACTCTTTGTAGAGAACTACATAGATTCGGTTGCTGCATGCATTCTGAAATTTTACGGTCCAAGAAAGACATATTGATGGCAGGCGTGCATGCTTCAGATCCACCCGCCGCAGACAAATACTGTTGAAACTAGCCCAGACAAGTCTAGGACAATCACATTTAAAAGATCAGGACCAGAGTACATTTATTACATAGACTGGGGAGGGAAGGGACCAGTGGAGACCAGCTGGGACATCCAGCCCTCACCTGGGCCAAACGTAAAGAACAAAAGTGTGATGTGCTCGTTCCCTCTGAAGGTCTCTGTCCTAACCTCCTTCCTCCTCTCTGCCAGTGCGTTGCAACTTGGGGCTGCTCTCAGAAATGTACTGTACCTCCCCCTGCCTGGTTCTTTAACTTTTCTCTCCACTTTCCCTCTTGACCCACTTTCCCATGTTACCTTCCTCCCCCCACCCAGCCTTGCCTCAGGTCCCAGGCTGCCCCTGCCCTTGATCCGTGGGGGTGAGGTGTGGCACTGGTTTGAAGAGCTTCCCAGATCTCCTGGAGCTGGTTAGCCCGGAGCTGTGTTTGGAAACACGGGCCCTGACTGTGGCTGTCAGGCCTCCCAGAGACTATCTGCTGCTCCTTGGTCAGCATCATCTGCAGCCACTGTGCTCCTTGGGCTGGGCTGCCACCTACCACCCCCCACGGCCACTGTCCCACCTGTGCCTGCCTGCCTCCCTGACACCACGAGAGACCCCGTCTTGATTCCAGGAATGAATCCATCCTTGTCTGCCTCACTCCCACCAAAGATAAAAGACATCACTAGCAACAACATATATTTAGTGAGTGCTTACTCTTATTCATTGAATTGTTGGCCCTTCCATTCTGGGCCATGATAAGACACATGCTATACCTACTCCTGAAAAGATCTGGTGACACATGCGTTATCACTGGCATCAAAACTAATATCCCCTGTGTACCCAGGACAGGCCTATGGGAGAGGGAAAGGCAGAAAACCTACCTACCTTATGGCTTCTGTGCCAAGTCCAGGAATGGTGTTTGCCCTGCGACGTCTGGAGAGCCAGCAACAAAGGAGGTCATCAGAAGGCAAGGTGTTGTCTTAGGAATATTCATTAAACTAAAGGCACTGGCTTCATTCTTGGGCAGATTCACATCCTGTGGAGTATCTAGTCCCTTTGACTAATATTTTTCTTCTTGAGTCTGATCTATAGCTGTTTTACTGTGTTTCAGCTATGAGGGTAGTAGAAATAAATTAGAAACAGAAAATAAGTTTTTTGATGATCTGGCTAGTCATCCATACTAGCTTTCATACCACTGATTGAGAGTTAGTCATCAAATATCCATCCACCAAGGATGAAGTACAGGCTACGGCAGGTGTTTGGCGAATAATACTAACGCAGTTTATTTTACTATTTACTCTCTTATGTCAGAGTAATCAGCTAGTAAAGCAAGGATTATAGATTAGTACTTTAAACATTTTTGTTTGTGGGGTGCCTGGGTTGCTCAGTAGGTTAAGGGTCTGATTCTTGGTTTCAGCTCAAGTCATGATCTCAGCGTCGTGAGATGGAGCCCTGTGTTGGGCTCCATGCTCAGCGCAGAGTCTGCTTGGGATTCTTTCCCTCTCCCTCTCCTTCTGCTCCTCCCCCTGCTTGCACTCACTCACTCTCTCTCTCTTTCTCAAATAAATAAAGTCTAAAAAAGTTTTTTTTGTAAATCTTCTGTCCCATCCATATTAGATTTAAACTTTTTTCAAATTAAATTTACTAATTATATTTCCTGTGCATGAATCACATAATTATGTCCTTTGCCAATTTACCCACTGAGGTATTGGTAATATTCATAAATATGTTTGAATAAATTTTCATATGTTTGAAGATGGTAACTATTTTCCATTTGTGGTGAATATTCTTCTTTTGTTTTTATTGTTAGTCATTTTTATTGCTTAGAAGTTAAAAATTTTTCGTCTATATTTGACCATTTTATTTCACTTCCAATTTCTTCTCTTGCTCTAATTATAAGAAAATTATCACCTTAAAGTGGGACTAAAAATCCTAATTTTCCCTTAGGGTTCCATTCCTCACCACCCTTGAGATTTTATACTGACATTCTCTGGACCTCAGAGCCCAGGCCCCCTAGTCTTCAATACATTACTTTCACAAAGGTTGAACATTTGTGTTATGCCTTCAACAAAGCAGTTACCTACAGAGTCCATTATTCACCTATTTATCCTAGATTTAGAACTATTTCTAATATTTGCTGATGTCTGAGAGGGCTATGGCTTACTCCATTCATACCTAAGTCGGTATCCGGATTCACTCACTCACTCACTCGTTTGTTCATTCATTCACACATTTATTCATTCATGCATTTGTTCTATGTGGCACACAGGCTCAATGTAGCTCCCAGTGAGTCCTGCTTTCTACCCATGAGTGGGGGCAGGACCTATGACTTGCTTCGAACAGTAGAATATAGTAGAGGTGATGCAATGTCCCTTCTGTGATTGTGTTATGTAATAAAGACTCTGTCTTGCTGGAAGACTCAACCTGGAGACTGACCTTGCCGGCGTGATGAAGTAAGCAGCCATGTTGGAGAAGCCCACATGGTGAGGGACTATGGGCAGCTTCCAGCCAACAGCCAGGAAGAAGCTGGGATCCTTGGTCTTAGAGCTGCAAGGAAATGAATTCTGCCAAGAATGTGAGTGAGCTTGGAAGGGGTTCCTTCCCCAGTTGAGCCTCCAGATGGGAGCACAGTCCAGATGACACCTTGATTGCAGTCTTGTGACACTGTAAGTAGAGGGGCCATCTAAGCCATGCCCTGACCTGAAGAAACTGTGAGATAATAAATGGGTATTGTTTTTTAGCTACTACATACACGGTAATTTGTTGTGCAGCAATAGAAAATGAATACCTTGTGCTATGCTAAATACCATACAGGCATTCTCTCACTTAGTGCCTGAAGTAACCTCATGAGCCTGACATTAATATTATTCCAATTTTGCAGATGAAGACACCGAGGCTCAGGAATTGAACTCCAGAACATTCTACTCTTAACCACTGAACTCTCACAGCATATTTCATTTTAATGTATTGCATTATTTCATAAATTCAAGTTTATCATGGTTTACAACTTATTTCCTGATCATGCCAACTATATTTAGGAAAAGCTCTACTAGGCACACCTAGTACACAAAGAAACGTTTTTATAAACTCAACATTACCAGGAACTTTCCTCTAACTCTTTTGTGCTATATTTATACCATGTATCTCACAGAAATATTAATAGATTCAAGAATAGGAAAGTTTCTCTTTTGTGTTAAAGCAGTGATAGACTGTAAACTATTTAGGAGGGAGAACAATTATGGCTGATATGAGCCACATTCCTGGGAACTGATCTGGAATTAAAACACCCAAGTAAACATCCATTAGAATGTGCTAGATCTTGGATTGTGTCTCTAAATTTGCTGCAAGACAAAAACACTTCATCTTGTGTCCTAACTTTCCCATTTTGGGTCAGGTATAGAGAAAACTTAGGAAGTAGGGAGATTTAGACTTGCTTTTTTTCTTTTTTTTAACAACTATTTGGTTCAGTGTTCTGAGAAGCTGAGATAGGATTATGACCCCACTACTGTGTCTTCTAATGAGACTTCTTCCTATTCTGCATTTATCAGATGTTAATTATACATACTGCATGATTGAGGATTTTGGAGTCAGAGATTCACCTGCAATATTTGGAATACCAGTGGAGGCCTACATCAACACAGAATTTATAAAGCAGCTGGTGCTAGTCAAAGCTAATGATGGAATTTCAGTTTAATAAAAAGACCCCCAACTGAGCACACCATCTTGAAAAAAGTATACTTATCAAACGGCTTTCAATCAGTTCAAGAGAGACACCTTAATTGGGAAGAGGAAGATTTGCACAGTAGTTTGTCATTGTGCCAATTCCAGATCAATAACTGCATGTCTGCTCTTTGGTAGACATAGCTTTTGCTTTCTATGAAGTAACCACATCTATTTCATCTCCATTTGGGTAAACTCTGTTTCATTTCATAATGTCAAATAAAATATCTTCTCTCCCCCACCCCAGATTTTTATTTATTTATTTGTCAGATAGAGAGAGAGAGCACAAGCAGGGGGAGGGGCAGAGGGGGAAGCAGGCCCCCTGCTGAACAAGAAGCCCCATATGGGACTCGATCCCAGGTCCGAGCTGAAGGCAGGTGCTTAACTGACTGAGCCACCCAGCGGTCCCAATAATGTCTTCTTTTAATTCACCTCTGTGTCTTCATAATAAATACAACCAAAATTAGATTTGTGATTATAAAAGTCATTTTTTTAAGTTTTAAAATAAACTTTGTATTTTGCAACAAGAAAGCAATGCTTATGGAATTCTAGCATTTTCAAAATTGTTTTGTTGAAAAAATTATATGGGTAGAACTAAATTATGGTGGTTTAACTATAAGAAGAATATGTTGAGCAATGATAATCTGGATTCATATAAAATTGTTTGGAGAAGACTGTACAGAATCATCTACTAATAAGAAACAAAAATAAAATGGGTTTACGTTTGGAGGGAAGGGTTTGGAACACTAAAGAATGTGACTCAGTCACCAGGTCTTAGTTTCCTTATTTGTTAAAAGGAGATACTCATTCAAAGTGGTGACTTTCAAACTGGTCTCAGTGGTACATTAGAAGGCATTATGGACCAGACAGGGCAGGAGGAGGCAGAGAAGGTGATGGAGCAGGGGCCCAATGTGGAGATCAAGGCAAAGCTTGGCGGCTGGGGGAGGGCTCTAGTTCCCTTTCTCACTTCAACCAGGGCAGATCTTTTCTTTCCCTCCCTCGCTCCCTCCCTCCTTCCCTCCCTCCCTTGCTCCCTCCCTCCCACCCTTCCTTCCTTCCTCCCTCCATTCCTTCCTTCCCTCCCTTCTTTCTTTCTTTTTCTTCCTTCTTCTTTGGTTTTTCTCTGTCTTCCTCTCTCTCTTCTGCTTCCTTCCTTCCTTTTTTCCTCCCTCCCTCCCAAAAGCTATACCTAGTTATAAAGATCTAAATTAACATATAGAAATATCAAGTTTCTGCCTAAGATTTCTTTTTGAAAAACAGGGTTCTACTGCTAAAATACAGTTTGGGAAAATCAGTGGACTATACAATTCTAAGTCCTTTTCCTTCTCTGAATTTCTTCCTTCTAGTAATTTTTCAATTACTGTTCGCATTCCAAGATCCAGGAACAAAATAGCAAGGGAGATTGAAAATATTTTAGAATCCACAACAAATATCTATCTTATATGAACTATAGTTCTACTAAAAGCTATGGATGAAATGGCATCTTACAGACCCCTACAGAGATATGGGATTATGACTAAAAGGTTTAGTTTATTGCAGAGTAACTACACGGAACAGAGCCATGCTCTCTTAGGCATTTCATCTACTAGATGATGTGTAGGCAGAGTGACAGAATTATGGCCTAATTTAAAAAATCAAAAGTTTCTTGCATTTAGAGAATTACATATACAAAAGTCACTGTGGGATAGTCAGTGGGATACTCTGAGATCATTTCTCTCATTTTATATATTCATTTATCCATTAAATTAATAAGTTTTTATTGAAACTTAGTGTGTCAGCCACTATGTTAGGTGTTGAGGTTATAGTATATTGTCCCTATCCATACAGAAATTATGTTTTAGTGGAGGAAAGAGCAATTAAACCATAATCATACACATAAGCGTATATTACATATTTTTATGAGTGTTGTTAAGTAAAAGAGCAGGGTTCTCTGACATCACGTGTCAGAGAATACATGAGAACACTAGGCTGTAGAGGGTGAAAGTGAGTTACCTCAAGTCACTGAGTGGAGCACCACAGAGCTGGCATAGACTCAATCACGCGTTCTCTGTCTCACCAACTTGACTGTGAAAGTTTAGGCTGAGTGATGGAAATCCAAAATCCATGAGCTCCTTTCCTGGCTTCTCCACTACTCTAAAATGTTGGGCAGCCTTGAGAGACACCTAAATATCTGCACCAAGAATGGACGCTTCAAATTTTTGAAAATTGTTTTCTTCTTTGGTTAAGATCTCTCTCTGCTTACAGTGTGGTTGACTAGAGGCTGAAAATAGTTGGCAGAGGTAACACGTCCATGATTAAAGAAAAGAAATTCCTTAGTAGCCATAGAAAGACTACTAATTATTAAAACTCCCAGGGTGCAACCACATTCAACAGCCTCTTTGAGTCTACTTTGTTGTGAAGCAAGTGGTTTTTTTTCTTTCAAAGTTCCGGTCAAAATGTACACCAATTTCCACTACAAACTTTTTTTAAAAAGACTTTATTTTTAAGTAATCTCTACACCCAATGTGGGGCTCAGACCCATGACCCTGAGATCAAGAGTCACAGCTCTTCTGACAAAGCCAGCCAGGTGCCCCTCCATTACAAATTTTTGCCCAGATAAGTTTACCAGACCTATCAATTAGAAGAAAATCCAAGTAAAATCATCATTATTAAAATTATTAGCTAACAGCAACCAAAATGAGCCCATTCTCCTCTTTGGAAACTGAAGCAATTGGGATATGGATAGCAGCCCATACAGATAGCAGAGTTTGAGGTTATTTTCTCTTGTAAGAACCTGAAGAGCAGGGATAGGATTGTTGGTGGCAAATCCATATACTTGGGAGATCCAACAAACACACAGCCATAAAGCCTCCTTTCGGGAACACTGAGGAGCTCTGCCTGCCTACATGGATGCCATCTACCTCTGGGAAGCACCAGCCACCAGGTGGTATAGTTAAAGTCCTTTCTAGTGTTTAATGGGATAAGTGATTGACTTTCCTCAATCTAGAGCCTCAATCATAGTAAAGTGCAATTCCTTTGAACTGTTTTGTTTGTTTTTACATCTTTTTATTATAGCCAGAAATTATTTGCATATATATACTATATGTAAATCTTTGCATTAATGAGTAAATGGGATTATAGCATACATGTTGGGGGTTTTGGGGTGCACACTAATTTTTTTCCTTTTCCTTTTGCAAATCTCCTCCCTCCTCTTCTGTTTTCCTGTTACTCTGAACCCCACCACGACCCATGTCCTCACACTAGCTTGTATCTTTGCATATTTTTTCTTTTTTAAAGATTTATTTATTTATTTTAGTGAGAGAGAGCGTGAGCAGGGGGAGGGGGCAAAGGGAGAGAGAGAATCCTCAAGCAGAGTCCCCTCTGAGTACAGAGCCTGATTTAGGCTCCCAGGACCCTGAGACCATGACCTGAAGCCTAAATCAAGAGTTGGCCACTCAACCGAAGGAGCCACCCAGGTGCTCCATCTTTGCATATTTTTTATCCATGCTCATACAATCTTATGGAAGCATATATATGTACATAAAAGTATATATAGTCCCACATATGGGTTTTGGGCACCATTTTTTAGAAATCATTATATGCCCTTTTGACATCATATTATATACGCTTGTCCTACATTTGTCTTCTCACTAGGAAATACCTCAGGAGAATGTCTCCAAGTCAACTAATGTAGCTCTGCTTCATTTCCTGCTACTTCTGTGGTGTGCCATGTACCATGACTTATTTTGTTTTCAGTTTTCTGCTATGTTGAACAATGCTGTGATTAACTCTCTTGTACATTTGTCCCGTGTACCAGGGCTCTTATTTTTATAGAAGAGCTTTCCAGAAGTGAGAATTCTGAGTCAAAGGATGTGGCTATTTAATTTTAATAAATGTTATCAGATTGTTTTCAAAAAAATATTATAATAATTCCCATTTCTGCCAGGAATAATGACAACATCATTTCTCCCTGCATTCATACCAGAATGTATGTTAATACTCTTTTTTAAATTTTATTTTATTATGTTACATTAATCACCTTTTTTTGGGGGGGGCCAGACTAATGGGTTTAAACCTCACTGTTATTTATTTTCACCCTAACTACTGGTGATTTAAATCTTTTCATAAATCTGGAAGCTATCTGGTTTTGCTCCTCTGCAAGTGGGCTATTTTCTTTTTATTTTGGGTTGTATGTTGGAAGAACTCATTGTATATTATATTTTTCATTTGTGTAAATTTTTTCTAGATTTCTCATTTGCCCATTTTTGTTATCATTTGAAATACATATTTTAATATACTTAAAAGTGTATATCTTCTCTTTTACAGCTTCTAGGTTTACTGTCTTAGTTACAAAAATGTCCCAAAACATGGACATTTTTGAAGCATTTTTATTCTTTTATTGTTAAGCTTTTAACCCATCTAAAATCATTTTTGTATAGTTCAACTTAATTTTTCTATACCATTTAAAAATAACCCACCCTTTTCTCACTGGATTGGTCTAACATCTTCATCATATATTAAATTCTCATATATATCAGGATCTATTTCTGGATTCTATGTCCTGTTCTACTGATTTATCTATTCTTATGCAAATACTTGATTTGTTTTTAATGCCTTTATGAGTTCTTCTGATATTTGATAATGCATGTTACTCCTAACTATTCTTCTCTTCCTTCTATTTAAAATACGATTGCAGGGGCACCTGGGTGGCTCCGTCGTTAAGCGTCTGCCTTCAGCTCAGGTCATGATTCCAGGGTCCTGGGATCGAGCCCCACGTCGGGCTCTCTGCTCCGTGGGAAGCCTGCTTCTCCCTCTCCCACTCCCCTGCTTGTGTTCCCTCTCTCACTGTGTCTCTCTCTGTCAGATAAATAAATAAAATCTTTAAAAAAATAAAATAAAATATGATTGGACTGTCTTGGGCACTGTTGGTGGGAATGCAAACTGGTGTAGCCACTGTGGAAAACAGTGTGGAGGTT